TGACAAAATTCAACACCCATTTATGATAAAAAAAAAGAACTCTCCAGAAAGTGGGCATAGAGGGAACATACCTCAACATAATAAAGGCCACATATGACAAACCTACAGCTAACATCATACTCAACGGTGAAAAGCTGAAAGCATTTCCTCTAAGATCAGGAACAAGACAAGGATGTTCACTCTTGCCACTTTTATTCAACATAGTTTTGGAAGTCCTAGCCATGGCAATCAGAGGAGAAAAAGAAATAAAAGGAATACAAATGGAAAAGAAGAAGTAAAACTGTCACTGTTTGCAGATGACATGATACCATACATAGAAAATCCTAGAAAACTACTAGAGCTCATCAATGAATCTGGTAAAGTTACAAGATACAAAAATACACAGAAATCTGTTGCATTCCTGTACACTAACAAAAGATCAGAAAGAGAAATTAAAGAAACAACCCCATTTACCATCATCAAAAAGAATAAAATACCTAGGAATAAACCTACCAAAAGACCTGTACTCCGAAAACTTTAAGATGCTGGTGAAAGAAACTGAATATGACACAAACAGATGGAAAGATATACCATGATCCTGCATTGGAAGAATCAGTACTGTCAAAATGAATATTCTATTCAAGGCAATCTACAGATTCAGTGCAATCCCTATCAAATTACCAATGGCATTTTTCACAGAACTAGAACAAAAAATTTTTAAATTTGTACGGAGACACAAAAGACCCCAAATAGCCAAAGCAATCTTGAGAAAGAAAAATGGAGCTGGAGGAATCAGGCTCCCTGACTTCAGACTACACTACAAAGCTACAGCCATCAAGAGTATGGTACTGGCACAAAACCAGAAATACATATCAATGGAACAGGATAGAAAATCCAGAAATAAAGCCACACACCTATGGTCAATTAATCTACAACAAAGGAGGCAAGACTCTACAATGGAAAAAAGAGTCTCTTCAACAAATGGTGCTTGGAAAACTGGACAACTAAATGTAAAAGAATGAAATTAGAACATTCTTTAACATCATACACAAAAATAAACTCAAAATGGATTAAAGACCTAAATGTAAGACCTGATACTATAAAACTCTTAGAGGAAAACATAGGCAGAACGCTCTCTGATATAAATCGCAGCAATATCTTTTTCGATCTGTCTCCTTGAGTAATGGAACTAAAAATAAAATAAACAAATGGCACCCAATTAAACTCAAAAGCTTTTGCACAGCAAAGGAAACCATAAACAAAACAAAAAGACAACCCACAGAATGGGAGAAAATATTTGCAATCGATGTGACTGACAAGAGATTAATCTCCAAAATCTACAAACAGTTCATGCAGCTCAATATCAAAAAAAAAAAAATCAAAAAATGAGCAGAAGACCTAAACAGACACTTCTCCAAGGAAGACATATACATGGCCAAGAGGCAACTGAAAAGGTGCCCACCATCGCTAATTATTAGAGAAATGCAAATCAAAACTACAATGAGGTATCACCTCACACCAATCAGAATGGCCATTATCAAAAAATCTACAAACAGTAAATACTGGAGAGGGTGTGGAGAAAAGGGAACCCTCCTACACTGTTGGTGGGAATGTAAATTGGTACAGCCACTTTGGAGAAGAGTATGGAGGTTCCTTAAAAAACTAAAAATAGAGCCATCATATGATCCAGCAATCCCACTCCTGGGCATATATCTGGGGAAAACCATAACTCAAAAGGTACATGTACCCCAATGTTCACTGCAGCACTATTTACAATAGCCAAGACATGGAAGCAACCTAAATGTCCATTGACAGATGAATGCATAAAGATGTGGTACACACAATGTTCACTGAAGCTCTATTTACAACAGCCAGGACACGGAAGCAACCTAAGTGTCCATCAACAGATGAATGGATAAAGAAGATGTGGCACATCTGTACAATGGAGTATTACTCAGCCATAAAAAGAAACGAAATTGAGTTATTTGTAGTGAGGTGGGTGGACCCAGAGACTGTCATACAGAGTGAAGTAAGTCAGAAAGAGAAAAATACCGTATGCTAACACATATATATGGAATCTTAAAAAAAAAAAAAAAAAGGCTCTGAAGAACCTAGGGGCAGGATAAAGATGCAGACATAAAGAATGGACTTGAGGACGTGGGGAGGCGAAGGGTAAGCTGGGACGAAGTGAGAGAGTGGCATGGACATATATACACTACCAAACGTAAAACAGATAGCTAGTGGGAAGCAGCTGCATCGCACAGGAAGATCAGCTCGGTGCTTTGTGACCACCTAGAGGGGTGGGATAGGGAGGATGGGAGGGAGGGAGACGCAAGAGGGAGGAGATATGGGGATATATGTATATGTATAACTGATTCACTTTGTTATACAGCAGAAACTAACACACTTTATTGGAGTAAAGCAACTATACTCCAATAAAGATGTTTAAAAAAAAAGACGTGGTACCTATATACAACGAAATATTACTCGGCCATAAAAAATAATGAAATAATGCCATTTGCAGCAACATGGATGGACCTAGAGATTATCATACTAAGTGAACTAAGTCAGACAGAGAAAGACAAATATCATATGATATCACTTATATGTGGAATCTAATTTAAAAAATGACACAAATGAACTTATTTCCAAAACAGAAACAGACACACAGATCTGGAAATCAAACTTATGGTTACCAAAGGGGAAACGTGGGGGGAAGGGATAAATTAGGAGACTGGGATTAACATATACACACTACTGTATATAAAATAGATAACTAATAAGGACCTACTGTGTAGCACAGAGAACGCTACTCAATATTCTGTAATGACCTATATGGGAAAAGAATCTGAAAAAATAAAAGCATCTGTTTCAGACACTATTTCAAATAGAAAAATCAAACAAGAAAGACATTCTCATAAATAAAAATCATAAATAAATAAAATATATTAAGAGAGATTATATGAATGTAAATTACATTAGCAATTGTATCAATCAGATTCTTAGAAAATCTCATGTCCATTAAATTTGTTTATGAAAACTAAAATACCTAAGAGGGACTTCCCTGGTGGTCCAGTGGCTAAGACTCCATGCTCCCAATGCATGGGGCCCAGGTTGGATCCCTGGTCAGGGAACTAGATCCCACATGCTGCAACTAAGAGTTCGCACACTGCAATAAAGATCCCACATGCCACAACTAAAATACCCCACATGCCACAACTAAAAAGATCCTGCGTGCCGCAACTAAGACCCAGCGCAGCCAAATAAATAAATAAATAAAAATAAAATATTAAATAAATAAATGAATAAAATACCTAGGAAATTAACTCCGTGAGATGGAAAGTATTGATTTTAACCCTGAATGCCTCAAGAACAGTAGTTACAATAAGTCATTAGCAACAGTTCCCTTTTGTATGAACTGGAGCTGATAGCTTTCTATTATGTAGTTAAAGGGAGAGAAAAGATTCCAAAGAAAAGCCCCGGGAATACAGCAAAATAAGGCGATGCTTTACAAAATGACTAACGTAGTAAATAAACATCCCCATGGCAGCAATAAAATTCAGAGAATTTTTTCCTAAGAGATGCAATATAAGAGCCCAACTCTAGAGTCAGGCCCAGATTCTCAGCTTAGTTGCGTGACTTTTGGCTGCTGTTTCTTAATCTGTAAAATGGGGTGATAATAATGGTACCTTTCTCGGACTTCCCCGGTGGTGCAGTGGTTAAGAATCCACCTGTCAAATGCAGGGGACACAGATTCAAGCCCTGGTCCGGGAAGATCCCACATGCTGCAGAGCAACTAAGTCTGTGCACCACAACTACTGAGCCTGCGCTCTAGACCTCGCGAACCACAACTACTGAGCCCGTGTGCCACAACTACTGAAGCCCACGTGCCTAGAGCCCGAGCTCCGCAACGAGAAGCCACTGCAATGAGAAGCCCGCGCACCGCAACGAAGAGTAGCCCCCACTCGCTGCAACTAGAGAAAGCCCGCGTGCAGTAACGAAGACCCAATGCAGCCAAAAATAAATAAATAAATTTATTTTAAAAATAATGGTACCATTCTCATATGGTCAATGAGACCAGGCCTGTTAAGAACCCAAAGATTTTGGCTGCTATTATTATCTTATGATCTTGCAATTCTTGACCCCTGATCTACTCGTCGTCTGCTGTTAGATTTCTTGCCAGAAGAAAAAAGGTTGAACTGATCTCTGCTCTTTCTCCCCAGTTTCTTTTGTGAAAAATGTACAATATCAATGGGCTGGAGCCTCCAAGCCTCAGGTGGGCACAGGGAGACAAGCCCAAATCTACTACCCACTCTGGTCAAGTGAGTTGCAGCCAACACACACACGACTTCACACCAAGGAGGAGGCTTTCAGCCTGAATCCTCATCCCTGTGCTGCCATCTTAGACCAGGTCTCCCGCACCTCTGCCAGGACCACTGCCTGGGCCTCCTCACAGAGCCCCCTCTTCCACTGTGGCTCCCCGCCAACTTTGCACATGAGCAAAAGGGTCTTCTACCCTTCTCCCCAGGTCATACCCTCTCTACACAAACCCACGGCCTCTTCTCAAACTATACTCCCCACTCTCTCCCCGCTTCAGCCCACAAAACCTCTCATATCCTCGTGGGTGCCCTGCTGCCTCCCATCAAGGGCCTTTGCTTACTTGTGCCTCCCCTACCGGCCAATCTTCCCTGACCTCCCAGAATAGGTCATACTCCTTAAAATGTGTTTCCCCTCAGGTCCTAAATCAGTTACACCCTTCCATTGTGTGAGCCTGTCTCCATCCACTAGAGTCTGGGCTCCTGGAAAGCAAGGACTGGGTCGACAGCACAAGGCTTAATATACATAACTGCTCACTTAACACCAACTGATGATCAAAAGTCAGAGAGCAGCGCTCTAACCTAAAGCGGAACTGGGCTCCCGGAGCTGATGCCGCAGCTAAGGGACTCAGTGAGGCTGGGAGAGAAATTTACTTAGCGGGGTAGCTCCCCAATTCCTAGGGAAGCAGCCCGTGCCAGCCATACCGTTTGCCTCCAAAGCTGGGCCTCTCTTCATCCGAGTCTCGCTCTGCCCATACTCCGTAGGTGGCCTCTTCCTTGGTCTGCCAGTGGCGCTGCCGGTTGGGGTTGAATTCATTCTGGAGATCCCAGTCGGTGATCTCAAAGTTCTCCCGCTCGTCCTCGTCATCCATGAGGCCTTGGCCTTCCCCGTCCCGGTACAAGTGGGACAGTGACATGCCCTGTCACTAAAGGAAGGGATAAAAAAAGGTACAGTCTGTGACAAGTCCTGGGAGCAGCAGCATGCTCCCCTGAGTTCCCGCTCCTTGCCGCCTTCAGAACTTCCTCCAAACTAAAGTTAACTAACATCATTGTTACAATTCAATAAAGCACACACTAAAAACATATTGTAGAAAACAACAGGTACTAAAACAGGTGGAACAAAAGACCAGTCACAACAGTCCATGTGATTCTTAAGCATGTATTTCCTTGTCAATGTCGTAAAACATCACACACACTCACATACACACAATCCACATAAAAACAACTAAGGAAGTATGTTGTTCTATGTATTATTGCCTCAGAAATGAGGCAGACATCTTCCTGGACCCCAGATTTTATTAGTTTTTTCTATTATCGAGTAAAGAGTTTCATCTGGACCTCCGACAGTCGCAGCACAGTAAGTTTTTTCGAAGACGCTTTTCTGAAACACATTATTTGATGAAAGCCTCATCAAATGAGCCTTAGTTTTCTTCAAAAAACATGAACCTCTTCTGAGGCGCCAGAAGGCAGTAGTAATTATGAACACGACCTTAACAGTACACAGCTGTGAAGTGGAATACAGCTATCATCTCAGGGTAGCTGGGTGATGAGATTCAGCTGTCTCTTAAGTGGATTAACTGCAGTACCAACCTTAGAGCGTGCCTGTAAGGCAGATTCAACGAGATGGTGCTTTAAAATCACTTAGCTCATAGCCCTTCCTATTACTGGATTCGGGAATGAGCCGAGCAAAGTGGCTGTGAAACCAGCTGCTAAAATCACAGCCCGAGTTCAAATCTCCACTCTAGCAGGTACTCAGTGTATGAGTATTAAATGCAGATGAAATGCCACGCATGGGCCACCACACAGCAATACATTCAATATATGACAGCACTGTGATTCGCCTCTAGCAGTTGCTGCAAACAGCCTTCAGGGACGCGGGATGGCTACTTCCCCAGGCGGTGTTAAACTCTGGTCAGCTCTGTTTGAAAGTTTCCCTGCTTACTCTACTCACTGGTGCACTGGTTGGTTGCTGCCGGTCCCAGCCTCATCCAGGAGCGCAAAAGAGGGAAACATTCTCAGAGGAGGCGGGGAGTCCCAGATACACCGCTGCCTCCTTGGGCACAGAGCATGGGGATAACCACATAGTTGTCACGAGTAACAGAGCCCCCGGGGGGTGCTAAGCACTTGCCGGACGCTTCAGGCCGATAATCTCATATAGGAATCAAGACACTTCTACGAGGAAGGTACTACTAGCGTCCTCAAGCTTCAGTTTAAGTAAAGTGAGGCTAAGTTAAATAATTTGCCCTAGGTTCCACGGCTGGCGGGGCTCGAAACCAGGTGGGCCTGAAGCCGGGGCTCGGGTGTCTCCCTGCCATGCTGTCCAGGCCCCGCGGCGGAGACTCGGTGCCTAACTCGGCCCAGGCCCCGACTGCCCGGTGACCCCGCGCGGCCCGGCCCTCTCCCCGCCTCGGCAGAGCCGTCTGCGAAAGGGAAGCGCAACTGGCGAGGCCGAGGCCCACTTCCCCCAAACCGGAGCACCCACTCCCACCGGCACAGAATCCCCCGGGTCCCCTGCCCACTCCCGGGCGCCGCTCACCTCTCTCCTGCTCAGCGTATCAAACACAACTACCCGCTCCGGGTTAGAAGCGCGTCGCTTGGGGCCGGAACCCGGATGTGCCGGGACAGGCGCGCCGGAAATGACATTTCTCGACAGCGGAAATGTCGCGCAGGTTGCCATGGCAGCAAGGGAACGCTAGGGCGGCTTTGGATCTAGCGAGCTACTAGGGAGGGTTTTCAGGGCCCGGAATGGAGGAGGGCTGATTTCCCTGTTGCGCCCGCTTCGGGGCGACGCCCAGCCTGTGACGACGGGTGTGGACGTCGTCAAGCCACCCTAGCCTAGGGAGACTCCTTTGCCAGCCTGAGATTCTAAATCTGCAAAATGGGGATATAGGACTAGCTCATGGGATAGCTGTGTGTGAGACATTTGCGGGGGTCGGGGGGCGAGTTAGAGGTGGGGACGAGACATGGCATTCAAAGAGAAATAATGAAGGTCAAAACTGTCTCCTGGATCTTTGAGTCTCTCAGTATAAGCACTGTCGTTGGCACAGATCAGTTGCCTTATACAGGTGTTTGAGGGAGTGAAGGAATGAACGGGCAAACTCTAGAATTCCCAAGTATTCCCGCCAGAAAATCTTTCCATTCTCTTCCTTTCCAACAGGTTGGTAAGTAAATCCATTCAATGATCTAATAAAAATGTACTGAGGGCCTACGCTGTGCTAGGCTCCAGGGATCCAGGGAACAAAGAGGCACCAGGCACTCCCAGGGAATCCCTCACCAGCTCTGGACTCTGTGTGGGTACACAGACTCCAGAGTTCTGGTCTCAGCTCTGCCACTTACCAACTGTGGACCTCGGGCAAGGCGTTACATACATACACCTTAAGCCTCAGTTTTCTCTTCTGCAAACGGTTGAGATAAAATATGTAAGCAATTAAAACTGTACCTGGTACGTAACAGGTGCTTAGAGAGTGTTAGCTGCTAATTTTTGCTTTGTTTTCTCTCACCCTCTAAGATGAAAAGATCCAGGAGGCATTGTTAGAGTATACACAGAGCACTGGACTTGGAGTCAAAAGACTTGGGTCTAAGTTCCCATGGTTGTTATTAATTACACGAGAACCTACATGAAGCCAATTACATGCCAGCCTCTTGGGAACAGGGACTGTGACTTAATGGTCTCTGTATCCCAGTGACATGTCCAGTCCATGTGCCTTACACATAGACACACACTACATAGTATGTACTCAGGAAAGAATCTGGAAAGTGAGGTTTTAGTAGAGGAGAAGGCGGGGGAGAGAGTCTTACAGACTGAAAAGTCTACTACGGAGCAGAGTGAGGGAAACACGGAGACGAGATAAACCGTGTTGAGCCTGGGCCTGAAAACGTGTATGCTTCTATTTATAAGTCAAAGTCAAAAATAAATATAAGCCTGGCTTCTCAGTAGCTATGTCCATAGCTCTACAGCAGATTTTATGGAGCTGAGTTACTTTGCTCTTGACAGACGGATGCTAGTGGATTTGTTTCACCAAATGGACCCTACCATGTGGCTTCTGGAAAAGGAAACCTTCTGGATGGTTGTGGGGTCATTGAGAATACAGGCTCTGATCAAGTGTGTGTCCCCTAGAATGGGGCGAATGGGAATCACGTGATAGGATGTCCTGAGAAGATGGGAGCATCACTCCTGTGATTTCCTGCCAAGCTGCATAACCTGAATGGAATCATGAGGATACAGAAGGCAAACCCCATTAAAGGGACTCCTACAAAACCACCAGTCTGTCATCTTCAAAAGTGCCAAGGTCATGAAAATGAAAGACCCTACAACTGTTCCAGACTGAAGGCGACTGAAGAGACATGACAACTAAATGCAACACATGAGTCTGAACTGGATCTTTTTGCTATAAAGGAAGTTATTGGGGCAGCTGTCAAAACTTAAATGGGGTAAGCTGAGGTTTCCATGGTAGTGATGTGTCCATGTTCACTTCCTGATTTTGATGGTTGTCCTGTGGTTACGATGGAGAATGTCACTGTTTGTTGGAAATACTAAAGTATTTGGTGCAGGGTGGAGGGGCATCACATAGGCAACTAAGTCTCAAATGATTAAGAGAAATAATGTTTTCTCTGTGTACTTAGAATTTTTTAAAAGTGAAGGTTCTGGAGTAAAAGTTTAGGGATCCAAATCTAGGAAGCCCTAGATAGGGGACCTGGGGCAGGTTGCTTTGCTTCTCTACACCTCAGTTTTCCCACCTCTAAAATGGAGATAAAGATAGCACTGCTCTAAAAAGGTTGTTCCCAGGACCAAAATAAAAAGGGGGAAGGCTAATTAATGCATGTAAAGCCCCTGACATAGTAAGATCTTCTTAAATGGTTGTGGCTATTTTCATTTAAAAGACCCAATCTCATCTCTCTGCATAGATGGTCTCTAGCCTCAAAGATAGTGGTTTTTCCAGATTTTTGGACTCAAATGCACAGCCTCAGGAAAAGAAAGGAGAGAGGTGGCCAGAGGTGTAGTTTCATGATCTCATACGCAGCCTGGTCTCCTGGCACTGCCCAGATAAACCCTTGATTTGGGACCCAGGGACATCCAGGCCCATGTCTAGATTCCCAATGAGGTGCTCAGACATGTAGCCTTCCCAGGAGGGGGTTGCCAGGCAATAAGGTCCCTCATCAGAAGCCTGGCAGGGCTCTCGGACAATCATTGGTCCAGCCCTCCCTTCTCACAGAAGAGGCAACAGAGGAGGCCACGCCACAGGGGAGGTACCAGGGCCACACAGACGACTGAAGGACACAGTCAGACCAGTCCTTTCTTTGCTACACGGTGCATGCACCCACCCACATCATTTCTGTCCACTTACTTGAGCTAATACTTATAGGGTGACTACTGTCTGTTCAGGGTCACAAAGACCTCTGCATATGTCATCTCTTCGATTCCTCAACCTTCCAAGGTCGTTTCTAAGCCGAATCCACACTCCTAATCACCCCTTAGGCAGCTCACACCATACAGCACTGTTTCCATATTGCCTTCAAAAGATTTGGGGGGGGGGGAAATCCTCACTCAGTTACAACTTTAAATAGGTTGGTACCATAGAAACAATCTGTAAGTGGCATTTCAAAGACGATATATTTAAAGCCTAGCACAAGTACCTTTTCTGGGACATTGACATTCTACAGTTGCACATGGCTTAGTCTTATTTTGAGTTTTGTTCAAAAAATATATATATCATGTCCTGAACTTGGCAGAATTGAAGATCCAGATCAACTGAGATTAGCAAATTTGGTTTCCTTTCAAGTGTTTCTTACAGATGGTTTCTACCCTACTTATCTTCCAAGAATTTGTGACCAGTATCCTTAGATAGCAAGCTGGGACAAGGTTCTGCAGGCCTGGGACATTATCTGTAAAGCAAGCGTCCTCAAAAGGACACAGGTGAGGTGAAGTGACACTGCACCAGCTCCAGGCGTATCCCTTAGCTGCGTGGCATCTACTCTGGGGGAGCCCAGCCGCCATATAAGGAGTCTGCCTAACCATGCTACAAGGAAGTCCAGGCTCGCCGTGGGGAGAGGCGATAATGACGCCTCCAAATCCTCCAACCGTCCCCAGCCCAGGCACCAGACATGTGACTGCAGGAGCCTTCAGTGGACAGAAGCCCCAGGCACCATCTGACTGTGAGAACCACTGAGCTCACTCTAGTTAACTCCTAGAACTGAGAGATTCAACAATAAATGCTTTTAAGTCACGAAGCTGGGGGCTGTTGAGTCATGCAGCAATAGATGTGTAGAACAGTGAATGAGGCCGGATGTCTTCTGCTAACCCTTGAGGGGTGATCATGAGCTTCCTGTGTCCATGACTCCATCAACTACCCATCCCACCTCTGTCTCAAGACAAGGAGAGACAAGAGCTGCTTCACACTGCGGGCTCATCACACACCAGGCACCACAGCCCACGTCACCCATCAGCCCCTCCCAATAAACCCAGGAAGTTCTACCTTCCTCATTTTACAGATGAAGAAACAGGGGAGCAAACCACACAGCTGGAACTTCGGCCTGACTCCAAAACTCCATACCCCACGCCACTGTGAGTCACTACCTTCCCAAAGCCTCACTACTGTCATGAGAGCTAAGGCAAGGCAGTGTGGGTAAAACAGTTAACCCTTAAAAGATAACAAACTATTCTGGGCCTGGTTGATCCCTAAGCATTTGAGCAGCCAAAGATGAGCTCAGCAGGCTTGGAGAGTTCCAACAAACCCTGCATGTGACCAAGGACCAGCCTGGACCAACTCCTGGGAGCTCACCTCTGAGCCCTTGGGATGTCCTCACTAGAAGGAGTGCCTTTGAACACCTAGGACCCTGGACCACAACAGGCCATAGAGTCTATGTTAACAATGTGATTTATGGGGGGTCTTGGATCACACTGTATCATTTGACCTCTGGAAGGGCTGGAGACCAAGTAACTATGGTCAGTTGCTGCATACCTTTGTGACTGATGCCAAGTAAAAAATGCTGGACACTAAGCCTCAGGTGAGCCTTCCTGGCTGGCAATACTTCATACATGTTGTCACACATTGTTGGTGGGAGAATCAAGCGTGTCTGTGAGACTCCAGTGGGAGAGGACATCTGGGAGCTTGTGCCTGGGCTCTCCTGGACTCTGCCCTATGCGCCTTTTTCCCTTGCTGGTTTTAATCCGTATCCTTTCGCTGTAATAAACCGTAACTGTGAGTCCACCAGGTTTTCCGAGTTCCGTGAGTCCTTGTAGCAAATCGCCAAACCCAAGGGTGGCCTTGGGGCTCCCTGACACAGGAGTTCAGCTGCGCCCTTGTGTGGACCTATTCTCCAGCCTTTGTTCATCATCAATCCACCTGACAAAACTCGACATGGAAGAAAAAAATCTATTCACTCTGTAAAGTAAGGCACAGACAAATGAGTCCCTGTTCAGTTTATTCAAATAATATATATATTTTTTTCTCTGTGAGTAAAACTGAGGAGGAATCAAAGAAAGTCTCATATATTAAATTCTTAAATAGATTCTTTGAATTCAAAAGTAAGGGTCAACAGGAGAGGCACGGGTGGTGGGCCTTGTCCCAGCAAACAAAGCCACCAAGGCAGTCCTGCAAATTAAGGAGGATGGCAAATCCATTTCTTAAAAAAAACTTCTCGAGGGGAAAAATATAAAATACCTAAGTTTCAAAAGCCGGACTACCTCCACACTCTTGGTTCTCTACCCCAGACTATCCTAAGATAGAATGTTTCAAGGTTAAGTTTTCAATGATTCAGCCTTTGCAACCATATGCAAATACATTCCTCATGAGCAGTCCTGTTTCGGCGATTAATAGCAAGCAATATGCTTGGATTTGAGGTCCGATTTCCACTCAAATGCAAAGTCTCTTCTCTTCTGGCAACAAAGCCACTTGCAAAGATCTGAAAGGGGAGAAAAACGGGTGTTAGGCCCAGAGTCGCAATTCTGAAAGAGATCTTGTATATTTATATGTGCGATTGCAGGACAGATGGTCTTCATGCATTCCTGTAAGCATGTGAGATTTTCTATAGCATCCAGATGGCTGGAGAGAATTTACCTTTAAAAATGTTTCTTGGGTCCTTACCCACATCTCAACCTGTCGCCACCTGACCTCAAAGATATCACTTTTCTGATTTATGAAGAGCAGATGGCAATGATGAGCTAAAGTACCCTGTCTCTGGGACCTCATCTAAAGGGTAAAGCGAGAAATAGATCTGGCTTTCGTCAACGAGAAGGTTCAGGATTCTACTAATGAACCTGCAGAAAGAGAGAGAGGGAAATCGAGTTGGGGAAAAACTTGGAAAAAGACTGCTTTCAACGTGAGAATTCTTAGGAATTAAACGGAAGTCCTGGATCTTAGCACAACTCAAGATGGGAATGCTAGAGTCAGGGTGACTTTGTGTCTCCAGCCTTGTGGGCTGGTGCAAAGTGGATTTCAAGAAAAATGAAAAAATATGCTGATTATTTAAAAATAAGAAAAGGAAACTAAAAATCGACTAGAGGTTAGAAGCTCTTTTACAGTTTAAAAGAATAGGCCAAATACCCAGGCAAGTTGGTCCTGGCCTCTCTGACTCCCCCAGGTTTCCCTGAGCCTGATCAGAGAGGCTGGGGAGCATAAGGAAGTGAGCTCACTCGCTGGAGCCTTAACTCCAGGGCCCACGTCTGCCGCAAGGTCCCAGCGCTCCCACCCGGGCCGGCTCACTTCATCTCACGACCACCCTTGCAGGCGGACAGTGATGAATCCCCATTCTCCAGATGGGGAAAACAGAGGCCAACAGGAGTTGAACCTCGAGTGAGTCCTTAAATCTCTGACTTCCCAAGTTCAGAACCTGCTTCCCTGCCCCTTGGCAAAACATGGATGGATAAATATGCACTTAAAATCGTTTGTGAAAAGCAAACTCAGGGGGAGATGACTTTTGGTAGCTCTGTGGCCTTAGGCCAATCAACGCCCTTCTCTGGGCTTTGGTTTTCTCCTCCATAAAATGGGACAGTCATGTCACCTGCCTCCCAGGGATGCTGAGGGTTAAAGGAGTAACACAGGAAGAGCACTCAGCCCAGTGCAGTAGGGGTTATTCTTAGACCAGAACTGCTTGCGACTATTATTACAACATTAATTGCTTTGGGCCAACCTGATGCTGTTTATAGAAGCTGGCTTGGCAGACAGCATTCTGTGCAAAATAGTTCTAGAATCCCCCCATCACACCTGTCCTCTGTACCCCCTCCCCAACGCCAGATAAACCTTTTTCTGGCTGGTTCAGCATTGATCCCTGCCCACACCCCTGATCCAGAGCTAGGAGACTAAGCCTTGATTCTATAAATAGCTCCCCAGGCTGGGGCCAGGGAAACCTCCTGATGGGGCTGGGTCAGCCCACCTTGGTGGCCACTCCTCCCCAGGGAGGCTCAGGAAGGACAAGCTTTTCAGAAAAGTGACTCCTGGGCTCAGAAGTGTCGGAAGGTCCCGGCAAAGTCCGCAGGCCTACCTGGAAATCATGAGCTTCCTAGGTGGGAAGAGGTGCTATTCTGGTTCACCTGGAGGAAGACAACACACAGAGGAAGGGTCACAGTCAAGTGGTGGTACCAGGGCCTCACTGCCCTGAGGTTCAGCCCTCAGCATCACTGAATCGGGCACACTCCCTCACCGAATAGCTGCCGCACACCTACTATGTGCCGGGCGCTGGGGCTACTGTGGACATGATAGACCCTATCCTATCCCCACCCAGCTCACATTCTAGGGGGAGAGCCTGCTCAACAAACACATCCGTAAGACACTATTAAGTCCAGGCAATACAATGGGCTGATGTGAGTGACTGGTGTTGGGGCTCCTTCAGATAAAGTGGTTCGGAGAGGCCACTACAGGGCGATGACATTTAAGGTGGAGTGTAATGAAAAACCTACATGTGTTTGCCCTTGGGTTCCTGGCACCAAGCTCCTAGAACCCTTGGAATCTCCCTAGAGAGAAAAAGCATCTTTTGTATGCAAATGAGATGACTGGTGGCTGGGGGCCCCCGGGCTTCAGGATGTGGGCTTGGTTACCAAAAAGGCTAAGGCATGATTAAAGGGTTGGAAATTTCAGCGCCCTCCACCCCAACCTCTGGGGAAGGGAGGAGGCTGGAGGTTAATAACCAACAGCCAATGATTTAATCAACCATGCCTCCTTAATGAAACCTCCATAAAAATCCATAAGTGATAGGGTTCAGGGAGTCGGGGTGGGCGATCACAGGGAGGTGCCGGGAGGGTGGTGCCCCCAGAGAGGGCATGGGAGCTCCACGCCCTTCCCCCATACCTCGCCCTACACATCTCTTCCACTGGGCTGTTCCTGACTTACAGCCTTTATGATAAGCTGGTGATCTAGGAAGTAAAGTGTTTTCCTGAGTCCTGTGTGTTGTTCTAGTGAATTACCAAACCTGAGTGGGGGTGGGGCATGGGGACCCCGCAAATGTGTAGCTGGCTGGGCAGAAAGGTAGGTAGCCTGGGCATCTGAAGTGGGGGCAGTTTTGTGGGACTGGGCCCTTAACCTGTGGGGTCAGAGGCTATCTCCGGAAATCAGCGTCAGAATTGAACTGAATTACGCAACACCTAGTTGGTGTCCAGATAATCAGAGAATTAGTTGTTGGTGTTGGAAAACACCCCATAAGCAAAGAGCTAAAAGATGAAAATGAAGCCGGCCATGCACGGATGTGGGTAGAAAAGCATTCCCAGCAGAGGGATTAGCAAAGCCCTGGAAAGGAGAGGGTGTTTGGAGTTTAGGGATTGAGTATACATTTTTGCATGAGTTGCCATTCTAACGTGTGAGCAGCTTTGTTTTGCTTGCTTCCTATCTTCCTATTTTTGGGGTTTCACGATTACCATTTTGGATGGCTACATAATATTCTATACAATGTACACACCACCATTACTCAACTGTTGCCCTAAGATTGTTTCCAAGTTTTGCAATATCCTGCAGGAGATCACGTGCACAGTGGAGGAGAAAAGGGCCGAAAGTAGGGGTTTGATGTAATTTGTGGGGCAGCTCTCCAGAAGGTGGGACTGCTCACGATGACAGAGCATATGCTATTCCTTTACATTTTGCTTCTAAGAGAGCAAAAAACAGTCCCAGGCCAGCTTGAATATGCCACACAGTGCAGGAGAGTGTAAACTGGTCCAACTGTTCTGTAAAGCAATTTTAACCTTGTAGTTCAAGAGTCTCAAAAAAGACCCTCCCATGGGGAATTCCCTGGCGGTCCAGTGGTTAAGAATCCACGATTCCACTGCAAGGGGCATGGGTGATTCCTGGTCCAGGAACTAAGATCCCACATGCCGCACGGCCAAAAAAAAATGACCCTCCCATCCTCTGATTCCACTCCTTAAAAATGTATCTGGGGACTTCCCTGGTGGTGCAGTGGTTAAGAATCCACCTGCCAATGCAGGAGACACCGGTTTGAGCCCTGGTCTGGGAGGATCCCACATGCCGCGGAGCAACTAAGCCCGTGTGCCACAACTACTGAGCATGCGCTCTACAGCCTGTGAGCCACAACGCTACGGAGCCCGAGTGCCACAACTACTGAAGCCTGTGAGCCTAGAGCCTGTGCTCCGCAACAAGAGAAGCCACCGCAATGAGAAGCCCGCTCACCACAACGAAGAGTAGCCCCTGCTCGCTGCAACTAGAGAAAGCCCATGCGCAGCAATGAAAACCCAATGCAACCAAAAATAAATAAATTTATATAAAAAATTGTATTCGAAGGGAACAATTCCATAGAGGCCCCCCCAGCCCTCGCCCCATAGAAGAGAGGCAAAATCAGGATGATAGGTGCATGACATCATTTGAAATATTGCAAAATATTGCAAAAGTTACACAGGGCAACAGTTAAGTAATTGGTGACACATAATGCATTCCAGAGAAAACTATGTAGCCATCGAAATGGCCACGTGAGACCCCCAAGATGGAAAAACAGTAAGAAAGTAAAACAAAGCAGCTCATACAATGGAATTGCAAGGCACATAAAAATGCATATCCAGGTGGGCAAAAAAAAGACTGTATGCAAAAATGAAAAGAGTTTCAGATTGTGGCTAATTCCCCTTACCCCACTTCTGTTTGTTGTTCTTGTTACATCCTCTTTGGGCTAAAACAAATAACAGATTAGTGCTGATTAAGTCTGGCAATATTTTTTCACAGTGGCAAGAGATGGGTTTCTGATTCCCACAAAGGGAGTGTGGACTCATCCCCAAAGGACCAAAATCTCATTGCCTGACCCATTAGAGTCTTGTGAGTTTGATGATTAAACTGGGGATTAGCGTAGGGTGACCCCACCCTTTCCTGGCCAAGTTAAATAAAACACACACACAAACTGAAACTACTGATTGTAGCATCACCACCCTTCATTTAAAAAGGAGCACTTTGGTACCCAACGGAGGATGCTATGGCAGTCCTGGGAGCGGTTCTTGACAAGATTCAGGGACAGCCTCCATGGACACGCCCAGGATGCATGGGAGGCCAGCCTGTGGGGATGCGTGTGGGGACACAGGACTGTATTGTGTCTACTTTTGCACACATACCTGCATCACATGACCCTCATTTTTTGGTAGACTGGTGAAATTTTTGTGCTGGGCTGGGAACTGCCACTTCATACTTTTTTATTTTGGCCACACAGTGCGGCACGCAGAACTTCCCTGACCAGGGATCAAACCCACACCCCTGCAGTGAAAACACGGAATCTTAACCACTGGACCTCCAGGGAAGTCCAGGAACTGCCACTTTAAATGAAGCTGAATTTAAGGCTAGAGGCAGAAAGTTTGACAGAAAGTCCCCACTAAGTTCCTCCAACTGCTTGCAAGCCAGGGGACAAGGAAGGGACTCAGGCTGAAGGGCTACTGAGATGTCGCTCCAGGTGGATCAGACACTTGAGAGCCTCTGACCGGAATCCCACCCCCATCCAATTTTCTGATGGACAAACCATCAACCATATGAGAGAAGTGAAGTGTTCAAGGGCACAGAGGGCACCACAGAGTGGTGACGCAGAATTCCCCCTGGGGTTTCTGACCTGAAGATAGCCTTTCAGATTGGCTGGTGTTTTATAGTCCCCTTTCAAGACCTAGGAAAGAAAAAATTATCGCTATTGTAGAAATGATCAAAAAATAAAATTGAGTCCATCCTTTGCACACCCACCCATCCATCCGGGTACCCACCCATCCACCCTCCCATCCATCTACCTCTCCATCCACCCACACCCCCCCCCATCCACCCTCCCATCCACGCCCCCCATCTACCCTCCCGTCCACCTACCCACCCATCTACACACCTATCCATCCATCCACCCAACCCACCCATCCACTTATCCACCTGCTCACCCATGCATCCATCCAACAAACATGTATTAATAAGCTCCTCTTATTCTGGCATTATTCTAAGCTCGGGGGTGGGGAGGGGGTTGGGGGCCATTACAACACTGCCCAGACAATTAGAAGTCCCATCCTCCTGGAGCTTCCGTTCTGGAGTGGGGAGGGCCAGACAATCCACAAGTGACAACACAATTAAACAAGAACATATCAAACCATGGGAAGTACTACAAGGAAAGTACGTGATTAGGAGTGCCCAGGGGGCTTCTTCTGAATGGGTGGTCAGAAAGGGCCCCTTGGAACGCATGGCCTTTGTGCTGAGACCTGAGTGACAAGGATATCCTGCCAGGCTACGCTCTGAAGGAGAAGCATTCCAGCCAGAGGGCACAGAGAGGACAAAGGCCCTGAGGTGGGAACCAGAAAATTCCAGGCCTTTCCAATATCTCTCGAAATACAAGGCACTGGATAGACCAGCACTGTCCAATAGAATATAATGTGAACCTAGTCTGTAATTTAAAATTTTCTAGTAGCCACATTTAAAAACAAAGTGAAACAGGTGAAATTAATTCTAGTGGTTTTTTTTTTTTTTTTGGCCACACCGCGCAGCTTGTGGGATCTCAGTTCCCCAACCAGGGATGGAGGAACCTGGACCCTCAGCAGTGAAAGCGTGGAGTCCTTACCATCGGACCTACAGGGAATTCCCTATAGTGGTATTTTTTATTTAACCTGATATAGCTAAAATATTAATACTTCAACATGTAATTGATGGGGTTCAGGGCAGGTTGCCCCCAAATCTACCACTTTGGCATATTCATTATTTTGAATTAAAGTTATTTAAGAAACAGCCGGTGCCAGAAGGACACTCTGACCCTCCTTAGTGCCCTTGAGAGCAGGGAATAAATCTCCCAGGTGAAAGGTACCCTCCCCGCAACAGGAGGTAGAGAGCCATCCTTATCACCAGAGATGGAGAAATCAGGGCCAAAAGGGCTGTGTACACAAACCTTGTTACTTCTTCAGTAATTTACTACCCCAAGCCCAGATGTCTTTGTCCTATCAGTACTTCACAAATGTATTCTTTCTTCATCTAAAAGGTATGAAAGATGCCTGCTTTGGCCCCTTCTTATGAATCTCCTATTTTTATGAGCCCCTGTATGTACGATATTAAATTTGTTTTGTCTCCTATTAATCTGTCTTATGTCAATTTCATTATCAGACCAGCCAAAGAACCTAGAAGGGAAAAAGGGAAAAGTTTTCCTTCCCTCTGTAATCAATATAAAAATGATTAAGGAGAAGTTTTACATGCTTTTGGGGGGTACGAGGACCTCAAAATCCAGTGTGTGTTTCACACTTCCACGGCACCTTTCAGTTTGGACTCATCACATTTCACTGGTCACATTTCAGTGGTCACACAAGCCTAGTGGCTGTAATGAACAGCACAGGTACAGACAGTTTCATTAGCACTGGGATCATTTCAGAACCGAGTGTACTGCCTAGGATCCAGTACAGGAACGTTCTGTGCCTTCAGTACACACACACACACACACACACACGCACACACACACACACACACACACACACACCCTTGTGGCTTTCAACGAGGGGACTTACCTTTGTAGTTACAGCAAAACCACTGTAAAGACTAAATAAGGTGTCTGGCACTTGTTAAAACTTGTGGAACCCCCAAGGAGTAAAGCTCTTTTGTTTCGTTTTTGTTTTTCCTTTTTTTGCTTTCTTGATTTTATTTTAAAAGTACACAGGGTCACAAAACTAGAGCAAGTTTTTGGCTTTTTTTAAACCAAATTTAGTTCTTACAAATGTAAAAATCTGCCCCGTTGGATATTTAAGCCAGAAACTTGAAATACAAAAAATCACTTTTGAAAGTGACCCTATCAATTCTCTACTTGCATAGATAGATGAAGTGTCAAAATATTTCTTCTCAGTAGTACAAGTGTATTTGTCACAAAAATTCAGTTAGGGATGAGAATAAGTGAATCAGGGAATTGTGGTTCTCTTAACACTTGTGTCATTAAATAAGTTAGTAGAAAACAGAGTTTTTCTTTGGGGAGTAAACCTCTTTGGAAGAAACCCAGAGACATCTTCTGTTTTAAATAAACAACAGAGCTCCAAACAGCTGTTCCTACCCATCACTGCTCATCAGAGTTTTTTTTATACAACACCCAAGGTCAGGCCTTACTCTGGGAGCTTCTGACCCATAGTCTAGGACCTGCCAGGGGCCTCTGCCTTTTAGACGGACTTCAGAGGAGCTGGGCCCCTGGCTAAAAAAGCAGGTAAGGAGAGGCCAGCTTTCTCTGATGCCCTCATCCTGTCCCAGCCACCCCTTCTGAGAAGCATTTGGGGGCTGGATTTCAAGGTCATCACCAGTTGCTGCTGCTTTTTTAATCCCGTTAATGAATTTTAAAAAATAATAAATTTATTTATTTATTTTTGGCTGTGTTGGGTCTTCATTGCTGCGCGCGGGCTTTCTCTAGTTGCAGTGAGCAGGGGGCTTCTCTTCGTTCCAGTGCGCGGGCTTCTCATTGCGGTGGCTTCTCTTGTCGTGGAGCACGTGCTCTAGGCACGCAGGCTTCAGTAGTTGTGGCGCACGGGCTCTAGAGCGCAGGCTCAGTAGTTGTGGTGCACGGGCTTAGTTGCTCTGCAGCATTTGGGATCTTCCCGGACCAGGGCTCAAGCCTGTGTCCCCTGCATTGGCAGGTGGATTCTTAACCACTGCGCCACCAGGGAAGTCCCTAATCCTGTTAATGAATTTTTTATTATGAAATATAGCATGTATACAGGAAAGTATATAAAGCGCCTAAGTACAGTTTAAAGAATGATAACTATTATTAAATAGTAAACATTGAAATTAATAATATTTAAAACAAAAATAATAAAATCATAAAAAAAAAGCCACATCCAGGTTGCCAACACCCACGCTCTCCATGCACTCTGGGTATCTACCTTGGATCCCTGAGTATTTCCACAAGTAGATGTTTACAAAATCAACTAATGTCGGGGGAAGAGGAAGTAATGAGACGTATAGATGGGCTTGCATTTCAAGGACAAGGGCAGAGCTGCCTACGCTCAGTGTTAGTAAATTCTCTCCGTTAAAAAGAAAGCTTGCAGGAATTCCCTGGTGGTCCAGTGGTTAAGACTCCACACTTCCCATGCAGGCAACACGGGTTCAAGCCCTGATCAGGGAACTAAGATCCCACATGGCGCACGGCGTGGCCAAAAAATAGAAAAAGAAAGAGTGAGAGAGAGAGAGAGAGAGAGAGAAAGCTTGCACGTGTTAAGGACTTGTTGGCATCAAATGGAGTCTTTCTCCTTGAGTCCACTGAAGAATTAAAGGAGAATAAAGAGTAATGACTCTCTCCCTTTCTGATTCAATACAAGAACTGTTGGGTTGGGAGCAGGGGAGGTGAAATCGGTGAAGGGGGTCAAGATAATATAAAATAAACAAGCCACAGGGATGTAATGTACAGCACGGTGATTATAGTCGGTAATATTGTACTGCATATGTTGTAAATTTGTACAGTGACAGACAGTGGGTAACTAGACTCAAATTGTAGTGATCGTTTTGCCATGTGCACAAATATCAAATTGTTCTGTCATACACCTGAAACTACAATAATATAATAAGTCAGTTATAAGGCAATAAGAGAAAGAAAAAAAAGAACTGTTTGCTTTCTAAAATCAGCACGTGCTCAGAAATGCCAAACTCGGGCTTCCCTGGTGGCGCAGTGGTAAAGAATCCGCCTGCCAGTGCAGGGGACACGGGTTCGAGCCCTGGTCCAGGAAGATCCCACATGCCGCGGAGCAACTAAGCCTGTGCGCAACAACTACTGAGCCTGCGCTCTAGAGCCTGTGAGCCACAACTACTGAAGCCCATGTGCCACAACTACTGAAGCCCGTGCGCCTACAGCCCGTGCTCCGCAACAAGAGAAGCCACCACAATGAGAAGCCCGTGCACCACAAGAAGAGTATCCCCTGCTCACTGCAACTAGAGAAAGCCTGCGCGCAGCAATGAAGACCCAATGCAGCCAAAAATAAATAAATTAAATAAATAAATTTAAGATGCGTGCCTTTTCTTCTCTAGTTCAACAGACCAAACACAAAGTAGTTCTCTGAAAGTAGAATCAGAGGACTTTAGAATTAATTTTTAAAAAAAGAGAGAAAAAAAGAAATGCCAAACTCAGCTTAAATTAAAACTCTGGGTCTCAATGACATAAGGGGTAGGAGGGCACTTCCTCAGGCCTGGGTCCCATGTTCAGATATTTTCATTAACTTCGTGTCTCTGAGGAAGTCAGAACACAGCAACCAGAGTAAAGGAGAAGTGACAGTGACATGTAAATAATATCGACTTGGTAACTGTTCCACACCCAGGATTAGCCTACTTCTATGCTCCAGAAACATCTTCTCAAAGTCATTTCCCCTTGACCACCTACACTAAGGAGAACTTAAAAAGTAATTTAAACCACCCTAAACTTACATTTGTCTGAGAAGTAAATATTAAACCTTATGGGGGCAGGGACTTCCCTGGCGGTCCAGTGGTTAAGACTCTGCTTCCACTGCAGGGGACATGGTTTCCATCCCTGGTTGGGGAATTAAGATCCCACATGCCTTGAGGCAGGGCCAAAAATAAATAAATAAAATTAAAAATTAAACCTTACGGGGGCAATAAAGGGACTATCATTTATTTATTCACACCCAGTCTCAACAGAGACTTGAAGTGCTTTACAAACAGACGAACAAACAGCCAGGGAAGCAGGGGGGAAAGGGTAAATCAAAGTACAGAAATGGGATGGAATTAGTGCACGAATGGGCCTGCCGTGAGATGCTATACAGTGTGAGAGGCAGGCTACCAGTTGGTTTTGAGCTTCCTTGTGGCCCAGGCAAAAATGGAAATACAAGTAGCCATACGGATCACCGTGTCCCTGAGACAGAAACAGACCAGCTGCATAGGAATCAAGAAACTAAGTGTTTTCTGGGGTAGCTGGAGCCTCCACCCCCACCACAGCCTGAGCACGCATCTCCCCGTGTGCACGTGCACTCACCCGGTGTGTGTTGTTGATGACGATGGGATCGGGGTTGCCGTAGTTGGGCGGGTTTGCATAGGGGTCATAGCCAAGCCGAGCCAGCATGGGGGCGATCTGGGCCATGTCCCTCAACACATCCCCAGGGATGTGGCCAGTCCACTTGGAGAGAGCTTCCAGGTTCACGGGCTTGATGACCTGGTCTGTGGATCGCTCGATCCTGGGGAGAGAGGACGGGCTGGACGGGGCACGGGCAGACCCAGGTGGTGCTCAGGTGGGCTCCCTGCTCAGGGACTCTGGGGCAGCAGGAAAGGTTGGGGGGACTGGTCCCCAGGGCCCACTCGGCTCTTATCAAGTATAAGAATGTGGGCAAGTCATATGGCCTCCTCATACCTGCTCTGTACAATGGGGATAAAAGCATGGGGTGGGAAGCTGGGAGAAAGGGCTAGACAAGGCACACCACTTCAGTGGTGTTGAAATTCTGCTTCCTTGACCTGACTTTTTAAAAATTACTTTTTATTTATATGACTAAGATGAGTATTTTGTTCTTGAGAAGTAATTCTAAGACACAAATGGTAAGGCGAATAGCCCCTGGGGTCACCACTCTGAGTCCTTCAGCTCCCTACAGGGACCTGACCATAGCATTCTGAAGCGTACCCTACCAATCTGTTTTCTGTACTTTTAAAAACAGAGTGGCTAAGCGCAGACTCAGGGGCCAGACTGCCTGGGTGCAGATGCCAGCTCTACCAACACGGGCTGTGTGGCCTTGGGAGACTGACTGAACCTCTCTGAGCCTCAGTGTCCTCACCTGTAAAATGGGAATCATAATAGTACTTACCTCACGGGGCTGTTCTGAGGAGTAAATGAGTTAATAATAAAAGAGTATCTGGTACATTTTAAGGTCTCGGTGTTAGCTCTCTCTTTCTCTCTCTCCCACACATATACACACTGAAAATCTGTGGTTTTGCTTGCAGATTTAAAAACAGAAATTATATACTATACATAGTACTGGTTTATAGGTGGGGTGTTTTTTTTTTCTCTGCTCTCTCAATACCTCATTCTTTTTCCATTCCCCTAAAGATGGATATTTACGTTGTTTCCATTTTGCTGTTAGGATGAAACAGTCATCGTCTTATATCTGCTTCCTTGCTCTCCCATCCAACAGGGTTACCAAGCTGTGTGAGTCCTGATGATCTTATCAATTATAGTTCAGAGGCTTTACAGGATACAGGGTGGGGAACTCCTAGGATCGAGGACCTATTTCTAGATGCTTCCATCCCAACTAAGAGATAACTTGGGAACAAAGAACAGAAGCAGACAGATGGAGCAAAAGGAAGATGGGGAGGGGGGGTGAGGGGAACTGGGGAGGGGAGAGGGTGTGGACTGGTGGGGAGGGCATGGATCTGGAGTCTGAAGACCCGGATTTAAATCTCAACTCTAGCCAGTGTGTCAAAAAATCACAAATACGGATCTAGGTATTTTCACCATAAACGTCTTCACTGTAAGCAGTTTCACCCCACAATTGGCCATAAGGCCATTCTGCCATAAAGGATAAAATCGCTGGTTGACAGCTGCATTACACGAGAAAATGATAACATATCAGTTTCTGCAAATCCTTCAGTGAGCTAATCCAAGCCAGATTCTGTTAGAATTTTCACCGTTTTCAAGACACATCAGGGATCCAGTAACCATTCCTTTCTGAGGGGACAGGAGGAGCTTGGTTCTTCTTTTGCCTCTTTTTTTTTTTTTTAATTGAAGTATTTACAATGTTGTGTTAGTTTCTGGTATGCAGCAAAGTGATTCAGTTATACATACGTGTGTGTGTGTGTGTGTATTCTTTTTCATATTCTTTTCCATTACGGTTATTACAGGATATTGAATATAGTTACCTGTGCTATGCTGTAGGTCCCTGTTGTTTACCTATTTTATATACAGTAGTGTGTATCTATTAATCCCAAACTCCCAATCCATCCCTCCCCTACACCCTTCCCCCTTTGGTAATCCTAAATTTGTCTTCTACATCTGTGAGTTTGTTTCTTTTTCATGAATTAAGTTCATTTGTGTCATATTTTAGATTCCACATATAAGTGATATCAGACAGTATTTACCTTTCTCCGTCTGACTTAATTCACTTAGTATGATAATCTCTAGGTCCATCCACGTGGCTGCAAATGGCGTTATTTCATTCTTTTTTGTGGCTGAGTACCATTCTATTGTATATACGCCTCATCTCCTTTATCCATTCATCTGTCGATGGACACAGGCTACTTCCATGTCTTGGCTACTGTGAGTAGTGCTGCTATGAACATGGCCTCCAATGTCTAATACTGTGTGATAAATCTGGCGAAGATGGCAGGAGAGAGAAAGTAAGTGTATCTAAATTAGCTAAAGAATCATCATTAATGCTCTCGAAGGCAGCTGTCCCTTTCCTATGAACCACAGCTCAGTAACCTTTTGGTTTTGACAGGTGGGAGGGATAACTGTGCTCAATGAAGTATTTGCAGAAACTGATATGTTATCATTTCCTAGAGTAATGAAACCGGAACTGTCAATCAACCAGTGATTTCATCTTTTATAACAAAACGCTTGTTGCGAAGATGTTTACAGTGGACATACCAGACATGATCAAACATGTGCCTGGCCTTTGCCACAAGCCTTGTGTCTCCAGGACTTCACAGGACAGAAATCACATAGATACATCCCAGAACTTGGATAGGAGCCAGGCTTGATACGAGTCAATAAACAAAGTGTCCAAAAACAGATGTTAAATAGAATATGGTGATCGTGTAGTGGAATATTATGCAGCCATTCAAAATGATGTCACTGCAGAGTGCTGGGGGCCATGGGCAAGCGTCCCAAATACAAGGTGAAGAAAGGTTACACAGGAACATGACCAGCAGGACTCCAGTTTTATCAATATACCCTGATCAAGGACCACCAAGCCACAAATCAAAATCTGGGTGTTGGGATTATGGGTGGTTTTTCTTTCCCGTTTTATGTATTTTCCCAATTTCCTGCAATCAGGATGTATTCCTTTGGTCATCTGATGTCTTGTCATGATGATTTACAAAAATCCCGGCTCCAGCACCAACTGGTGGGGGTACCCAGCCCATGGGCACTTCGCTGCCAGGAGCTGCTGAGAGCCTCCCGCTCTGCTCAGGGATCAGGAGCTCTTGGGGGCAGAGCCTGGGAGGGTCCAGCCATGAAAGAAATGGGAGGCGTTGTCCCAGGAAGGACCGCCCTTCCACTGGGCTGTTAAAGATGCTTGCAACTGACCAGGATGGAGACGTGGGGATGGCACACTCTGGTGCTGCACTGTCTCAGGAAAGGCACAGCCTCCTCAAAGGAGGAAGGCAGACAGCAAGGGACAGAAAGGGAGGGAGGATAGGTCCCAGCCACGGAGGGCTTGAGAACACAGGCACTGGAGTCCAACAGACCTGCATTCAAATCCTGGCACCACCCTTTGCTAGCTGTGTGGCCTTAGGCCAGTAACTTTCCTGAGACTCAGTTTCTCCATCTGTAAAATGGGGATAAGAGCAGTTCCTATGTTATAGGTGGCTGTGGGGATTAAAGGAATAATGATTGTTTGTGGCTTCACTCAGTGCTGGCCACACAGCAGACACTCAATAAACGAGAGTGAAGGTGAGCCTGACGAGTAATTCCAATAAAAGCAAGATCAACACTGAAACGATGATAACGGGAATAAACCACCTAACGTGTATTAACCCATTTGATTAATAGGGATTAATAGGGATAGATTCTATCCCTATGCTACAGATGAGGAAATGAAAGCACAGAGAGGGAGAGTTACTTGCTCAAGGTCACACAGCTAAAAAGTGGCAGACCTGGGATTCAAACCCAGACAGCCTGGTTCCAGAAACTATACTCTCAAACTTTACCTGCTACAGCTCACTACAAAGCATATTCACAGTTTGGAGAGGAGTGACTGCCCCATTTTTTGGATAATAAAGCCGAAATTCAGAGAGGTACAGTGACTTATTCAATGCCACAGAGCTATGAGGTGGGAGATCTGGTTCAAGGCTGTGCTCTTAACCACTCTCTTCCCAGATCTTCTCCAGTACAACAGAGGAGGCTCAGAGAGGCACAGTGACTTGCCCAAGGCCACACAGCTTGGAGGGGCAGAGCCGACCTTCCCACTGAGCGTCTCTGACTCCAGGATCAGGGGTCTGAGCGGAAGGTGGGGGCTCCACTCACTTGGACAGGGAGACGCCGCCGGGCTTGCCGATGAGGTCCTCATGGTGCAGGACGGAGTCGCTCCAGGAGATGCCGAGGAAGTCGAGGATGAGCTTGAGGGAGCGCCGGGGGTGCAGTACCAGCTGCTCGTAGTACACGGGCAGGCATTTGTCCGCGCCCACCTCCATGCACTGGGCGTACATCACCTCAATGGCCTTGTTCCACTTGGCGAGGCAGTCACGGTAGCTGCTGAGGTCGAAGCCGGCAATGGTGACCTTGCGGGTGATCATGGAGTGCACGGAGGCCCGGCCGTCCCGCACCATCAGCAGGAACTTGGAGTTGGGAAACAGGCGCGACAGGTAGACAGAGGACTTGAGCGTGAAGGGGTCTTTGTTGCAGAGGACGCGGGCCGGCTCTCCGTGCTTGGCGATCACCTCCAGGATGAAGGCCTGCATGGCAGCGTCCAGCACCTCGTCTGTCACACCCGCCTCTTCCAGCCGCAGCTTCTCCCGGCCCGACTTGGACCAGGCCTGGCGCATGGCCAGCACGCGGGGGATGATGCGGGTCTCCTCCCCGCAGCGCACCTCGGGGTGGGCGTCCAGCATCGCACGCATGAGCGTGGTGCCACTCCGGGGCACGCCCCCCACGAAGATGAGCGGCATGGCCTTGCCGTAGCGGTACTCCACGTGGTCCGAGCCCACCATCACCAGGTCCTCCTGCTCCGGCCGCATGGCCCGCCGGGGGCCCCGGGGGCCCCCCAGTGCCACCCGGCACTCCAGCACCTGCTGCCCCAGCTGGACCGCCAGCACCAGGGCCAGGGCGAAGCCGGCTGCCAGCAGTGCCCTCCGCACCGACAGGCGCATGCTGGGCCCGGGGCAGGGGGCGCGCTTCAGCGACAGGTGGGCGGGAGCCCCGCCGGGCTCACATCTGGGGAGAGAGAGGGACACGGGCGGTCAGGGAGGCCTGCGGGCTGCAGGCGCTTTACCATCCAGACCCCAAGAGCAGCAAGTATGAGGGTGCTGACGTTCAGAGCAGAACGCTGCAACCATCTTAATTCATGAGATCCTCCAACAACCGTAAGCGTAGCTGCTATTATTACCTCAGGGGGCCCGATGGCCTGGGTTCAAATCCCTCCTGGCTACTTCCTAGCTGTGAGATCTTGCCCAGTTCCTTAACCACTCAATGCCTCAGTTTCCCCAACTGATAAATGGAAAGAGTAATAATTCTTTCAAAAATGGACTTTCTTGAAATACATTTATGTGAAATTCTTTGAAATGTGAAAATAATAAAACACTAGAACATCAGATTTCAGCAGCACACTCGTTTGATAAAGACATGGGTTTTGCCTGTTTTGTTCACGGCTGTCTCCCCAGCTCCTAGCACGGTGCCTGGCCCCTAGTAGATGCTTAACAAATATTTACAGAACGTGCTTGGGTCCAATGAGCGTGGCCTGGCACAGAGTATGTGCTAGGAAATGATTATGGTACAGCGAGGAGGGAATCAAGGTACAAAGCGACTGTTCACCGTTGTCCAGCTGGAAAGCGGCCGAGCCAGGGTCCATGATTTTGACCCAGGCCAGCAGGCTCATCAGCTGGCTCTGTGTCTGCTCTGAGTGACCACAGTCTGCCTCTGCAGGAGAGGCTTTTCAGAAGGTGCAAAATATCCTGGTCTGGGCTTCTTCCAGAATCGCCGTCCGTTCGTTCAGCCTTCACTCGGAAGCAATAAAAAGGTTTCAGGCACCTGCTCAAGGCTGGAGACAGGACAGTGGACGAGACAGCCAGGCCTCTGGCCTCAAGGAGCTTACAACTGAGTGGGGGATGTGGACGGTACACAAGCTACCGCCAGACCGTGATAATGACTTGCAAAGAAATAAGCTGGACACCATGAGAGAGATCAAGAAGGGGAAGGAAGAGGGAGGTTAAGGAGGACTTCTTGGAGGAGGTGACGTCCAAGCTGAGACCTGGATGAGAGGGAACTGGCGGTGTGAAAATGTGTGGGAAGGGTGCTCCAGGCAGAGGGAACGGAGAGTGCAAAACCCCAAGATGGGAGAGAGAGGGTTTGGTGTGTTCAAGAACCTGAGAGGAGGCTTCTGGGGCTGGAGCGGAGGGAAGGGGAAGATGGGGTGCAGCTGCCAGGCATGTCCTCAGGGGATGGGGAAGGAGCTGGACTTACTCTACGGGCAGCCCCTGGGGAGAGGGCCTGCAGGGGTGGGAACGGAGGCGGGGAGGTCAGTCAGGAGGCTCCTGCCCGTGTCCTGCGGAGACTTGGGGATGCTCAGACTGGGGGGGTGACGTGCGAACAGGGGGAGGGGATGACTTAGGACATGAATTATGACCCTGAGCCTAGCTCCTCACCCCTCCCAAATGTCACTAATAAAGATGATGAGACCTCAATGCCAATTCTTTAGGTAGGGGCTGGTTTCAAAGAGTAGGGGTCCACCCAGCCCAGCCACCCCTTCTCTAGTCACTCAAATGTCAGATCTATCCTCCTCCCCAATTCACCCTCAAGGCCCTTTGATTACGCAACCTCAGCCCAACGCAAAAGGTGCAGACCCAGATGCTGGACAGACAGCCCACCTCCGACCACCCAGCCCTTCTCTGCCTCACCCCCGCTGTGTTTCAGAACCTTCGTTTCCTCTCTCACCTCCTTCTAGAATCCAAGTGAGAGCCTGAGGTCTCTGGGCATTCAAGAAGTCAGACAGACCTGGGTTCAAATCCCAGCTCTGCCATTTCCTGTGTGGCTGTGTGAGCTTGGGCAACAGACTTCACTTCTCTGAGCCTCATCTGTAAAATGGGTCTAAGAGTGTCCACCTCAAAGGGCTATTATGAACATTAAATGACCCCCTTTAAGAACTTAAGAATGTGCCCGGCACATTGGGAGCATTTGAAAGAATATTAGCCATGATCACTGACTGGTTATTCATTTACCCCAACATTTCATGCGTTCCTACTGTGTGCGGGAGTTGGGCTATGGAGTTAAGAGACACAGCCTCAGCCCCCCGAGTCCACTCATACTGTGGACCCACACTAGGAAGGGGGGTGACAGGTTCGACCTGTGTAGGTGAGGGAAGGCTTCCTGTAGGAGGCAGCCCTTGTGCCGAGTTCTAAGCAGTGGACAGGGAAGTTCTGAACAGCCAGGTGGAGAAGAGAGAGAAGGGAGTTCCTGGCAAAGGGAACAGCCAGTGCAAAGTAACAGGCAGGAAAGAGCCCAGCATGCCGGGGGGTTCAGGTGGCTTGGCGGATGGGACAGGGTCTGAAGGGAAAGGAGTGGGAGGCGGCCTTCTTCTTTGGATGGGAGGTTCACCGGAAACCACTAAAGGACCCGGCTGGCAGCTGGACCAATCCACCCACAAGGGCCTGGGCTGCCTGGGGCCCCTCAGGCCATAGCAAGTGGAAAATAAACATCAAAGCTGAAGAAGCACACAGCCTGGGGCCTGGGGTCGAAACTGCTAAGAGGCCCCGGCATTTCCTGGCCATGTGTCTTTGGGAGAGTCACTTCCTCCATCTAAGCCACAGTTTCCTCAGCTACAAAGACGGGTGGGTCCACTGACCTCAAAGGCTGCTGTGAGGATTCTAGAAGCAACTGACAAAGCAAAGATGAGTCTCATCCGGGGGTTGCTGGCTTCTCTGAGCATCAGAAAATAGCTGGGGACCCTCTCCCCAGAAACCTGAGCCTATCATATGCTGCTGAAACTGTTGGCAGTTAATGTGTACACTGGATTCATGTCTGGCATGGGGAAATCTAATTCCAGGGCTACTTTCAGCGGGGAAGCAGGCTGGACAGGACACAAAGTCCCTCAGAAATCCCTCTATGGAGCTCTCGGCTTCTTTAAATGCTCACTGAAATTCTCCCCTTAGACCTGAGAGTAGAATTCTGCCAATGATTATTATTTCAGCGTCAAAACCCTGGGGGACTGTCAATCACACTTTAGCTTGAATTAGTACAATCACCCTTTCTTCCTGACACTTGGTGGGGAGTGAGAGACTGAAGCTTTGGGGAACAGATGGCGATGGGGGATGCAGAGAAAGGGAGAAAAGGGGATAATTTGGGAAAGTGGTTTCCAAAAAGGATAGACACAGTGTGCCTGCCCTCGCGCGCGCGCGCGCGTGCGTGCGTGTGTGTGTGTTTATGTACTCTTCGAGCTTCTGTTTGGGGTTGGAAGTGACTTGGATACTAAATACCAGGGGAAAAGGCCTGGAAGAAGGGATAGACAGAATTTTTTTAAATGTTATCAACTCATGAGTTTTGCTTAATACTGAGCATTCATCTGGCTACAGCACTTCAAAACAAAGCACTGAGTTGTGTGTTTTTACATTGACTGAGCACGTCCTCTGCTAAAGCTTATTCCATGCCTCACATAGCGGGATCCTCTCCGCCACCTCTGGGGTAGGGATGCCTCCTGCCCAGCAAGCAGCTCAGAGAGAAGAGGCAACTAGCCCGAGATGGATGGCATGGCTGGAGTGGCAGGCCTGGGTCAGACCAGGCTGCGGCTGAGCTGTTCACTGTACTTGGACAGCACCCAGTGAAGGGCTCATCTCAGTCACCAGGAGAAAACAGCTCAAAGCGGGCAAGTCAGCCGTGAGGAGGAGACTGCACAGACCTGGAGGATGGCTTGAGAAGCAAAGGCAGGGCCACTTGGCAGAGGGAAAGCCGCTGGGAGCCTAGGAAGCAGAAGGTGGCCTCCTGACCACCCAGAATCAGAGACTCCGCCCATTCCAGGAAGGGCCAGAGGGCCCAGCCCAGGGACTCTGGCCTGCCCTCCGTCCCCACCACCCTGTTGGACCCTGTCGAGGGAGGTGTCCCGGCATCCTGGCAGTGAGGATGGTGGCTAAGACCCTCAGACTTGGAGTCTTACAGCCCCAGGTTCAAATCCAGCCCCTGCCACTTGCCAGCTGGAGAGCCGGACAAGGGACTTCGCCTCTCTGAGCTTCTGTTTTCTCCTCCAAAAACACGGGGGATGATAAGAAGCTTTGCTCAGGGAGCTGTTATGAGGTTCAGGGAGCTTTTGTGTGAAGGGCAAAGCACGCACGCCAAGAACACTGAGGCTGGAAGGTGGCACGCAGACGGCTGGGTTCTGGCCGTGCTTGAATCTGCCCACGAATGCCGGGTAAGTCCTGCCTGCTCGGGGACTCAGCCTTCTCCCATCTCCAGGAGAATCACGTTCCTAAGGGGTGAGGAAGAACAGAGGCCTGCCCTCTCCACGCTGCTGGGATCCAGCTTTGTCTGGATTTCTAACACAGGAGAGAGCTGCCTGGGGGAGTTTGCTCGGCTGCCCAATCAGGAGGCTGGGGGCTGTCCCTGGAGGAGCCCGGTCTCTGGGGGACCTTCGGGAAGCACTTACCTCCCCTGGACACTCTCATCCCTGGGATCTAGCCCTCGTGGCTGCTTGCTAAGACTCTCCACGGGTTGAGCCCTGCAGAGGCAGAAGAGACGCTGCATTAGGTGCATTAGGGGTGGGTGCTATGGAGAGGGGCTGGGCCCCCTCGGAGGGGCAGAAGGGGATGCTGGGCTTCCCAAGGGTGCCCGACAGTGACTCTGGGAGACGAGCGGCAAGGCAGGGACAGGCCACCTCCGCCCAAGATGTTGAAGCTGGGGTCTAAATTCACTGATTCAGCCAGGGAGTGAACTGGCTCACTTCTCAGGCAGAGGGGTGTCAGCTGAGAACCTGAGCTAAGGCACTGCTGCCTTAGGAAGTAATGGGTCTCTTACAACCGGGCTCTCCCTTCTTCTTGGCCCAGGGACCTTGGACTTCAGGAAAAGTAAATATAACAAGAAGCAACAACCACCACCACTGTACCACGAATCACCATCTGGAATTGCTGGGTATGGTTGAACAGGCTGCGCACTGCTCAACTCCAAAGGGCACTGCGTACCCAGCCTATGACAAATATGGCGCCCCCTGGAGTTGGACAATGCCGTGCCGCCACTGCCACCTAACACTGACCAAATGCCTGCTGTGAGTGCCTTGTGCCATTTAATCCCCCAACGAGGAAAGTACGATACTCCCAATTTTACAGGTGAGGAAATGACACCAAGAGGAAGAGCAACTGACCCGGGGAACCAGGATCGCCATCCACATCTGTGAGACTCTGACGCCCAGCTCTTAACCACTGCATTAAAGGAATGGGCCGTGAACTCATGGGGTCTGGCATGAAGCCTGGCTCACGTGGAACCAATGGGATCTTGGTGTACGTGTCACTGCTATGCCCTTACCATTTACTGGGGGAGGGGGTGGGTGGCAGATTTTTAGTCCAATTCTCGCCTTCTCCCATTTTACAGATGTGAAAATTGAGGTTTGGGAGCAAAAATCTCTTCACAGAGTCACAGATTCTGAGGCTCAACTTCCTTCTGCTTAGTCCCAGCCCAAGAGGTGGGGTGGGGGGCTTTAAGGATGCAGCTCTGGAGTCGGATGATTCCCTGACTAGGTAGATTGTTGTTCTTCCGAGCCTCGGTTTTCCTATGCTGTAAAATGGGCTATTGGGAGGTTTAAACAAGACAATAGCAAATACTCAAAAATCTCAGCAATTATTTTATTTGTGCCATGATGCAAATACATTGGGCGTAGGACCATTTTTGGGGTCCTCTTTCCCTTCCTATTGGCTCTCTCCTTGCCTCTATACAGTTTTTTTTCCTCTCCCTGAAATACCAGGGATTAGTATATCTAACCCCAGGAGGAGAAGGGTTCCCAGACCCTCCCCCTCCTCCCAGCTACAGAATACACAGGCTTGGCATTCCCAGGGCATATGGGTGGCCAGTGAAGAGAAGCCTGGTTCTTGGAATAACAACAACAAACACAATTAGGGACCAGGGCCCTTGAAGCTTTTCCGGAGACGAGATGGCTCAGGCCCAGCTGCCCTCAGGCGGCCCTTGAAATGCCAGAGAGTTCAAGAGGCCTGCCAGGCGGGCAGCTCCCACGGCCCCTTTCAGGGTGGTGAAACGGGGCTGTCAGAGCCTTCAGTCACTCAGAGCTGTGACGCCAAGACTCCGACATGACGCTTTAGCCACAGGTCAGTATTTAAATTTAAATTAAGTAAAATGGGGACCTCCCTGGTGGCGCAGTGGTTAAGAATCCACCTTCCAATGCAGGGGACACGGGTTCGAGCCCTGGTCCAGGAAGATCCCACATGCCACGGAACAACTAAGCCCGTGCGCCACAACCACTGGGCCTGCACTCAAGAGCCTGCGAGCCATAACTACTGAGCCCACGTGCCACAACTACTGAAGCCCACGCATCTAGAGCCTGTGCTCCACAACAAGAGAAGCCACCGCAATGAGAAGCCCACGCACCTCAATGAAGAGTAGCCCGCGCTCGCCGCAACTAGAGAAAGCCGGTGCACAGCAACGAAGACCCAACACAGCCAAAATAAAATAAAATAATTAAAAATAAATAAATAAAGTAAAATTAAATAAAATTTAAAATCCAGCTCCTCATTGGCACTGGTCACAATTCAACAGCCCAGTGGCCCCCTGGGGGCTACCATACTGGGCAGAGCAGAGCTAGGATGGAGGCAGCACATGATGGCCCTTGGGCCAAATCCACCCCTCAGCCTGTTTTGTAAGGCCTGCAAGCTAAGAATGACTTTTACATATTTTTTTTTTTTTAAGGGAAAGAGGAGGAAGAGGATGCGGGGCGGGGCTGGGGGGAGGGGAGGGGGAAGCAGCAGCAATAAGAAAAATTCTACGTGTTCTGCAAAACCTGAAATATTTACTATCTGGTCATTTATAGAAAAAGTTTTCAGGCCCCTGATCTAGAATATTCCCATCATTCACACAAAGTTCTACTGGACCACGCAGACTTGGAAGACACGTGAGAGGCATGGGGAGGGGTCACTGAACCCTCCTTTTCTTGCAGGAGGAACATCAGCATTTATTAAGCACCACTGTACATTTAACACCGGACCAAGGGAGTTCCACACCGCTACCTCATTTTCTCCTCATGGCAGGGCGGAGTGGGGAGGGGGCGCCTTGGTTCTCCAATTTACGGATGACAAACGCCCATGGGGGTTCAGGGTAAGCACGACTGTGCCCAAAAGCGAACCCACCAAGTCAACCGAACCAACCAGCAAACACAAACCCCACGAAAAATGAGGAGGGAACAGACTCAAAATGCCACAGGGGTGGTAGGTGATAATATTTTTCTCCTAAAAACACATGATGTTGGGCTTCCCTGGTGGAGCAGTGGTTAAGAATCCACCTGCCAATGCAGTAGACCTGGGTTCAAGCCCTGGTCTGGGAAGATCCCACATGCGGCGGAGCAACTAAGCCCGTGAGCCACAACTACTGAGCCTGTGCTCTAGAGCCCGCAAACCACAACTGCTGAAGCCTGCGTGCCTAAAGCCCGTGCTCCGCAACAAGAGAAACCACCATAATGAGAAGCCCGCGCACCGCAACGAAGAGTAGCCCCCGCCTGCAGCAACTAGAGAAAAGCCCCGCGCAGCAACAAAAACCCAACGCAGCCAAAAACAAATAAATAAATTTATTTAAAAAAAAAACAAACAAAAAGAACACACGGTGTTGTTATATTACCTTGATCTATATAATAATAAAATGGCTAGTATTTTTTGAATTGTATGCCAGCCATAGTAGGGGGTGACTGTTTGGGCTCAAATCCTGGCTCCACCAGCTACTGGCTGTGTGATCTTGGCAAGTCACTTAACCTCTCTGAGCCTCAGTTTCCTTCTGTACAATGGAGATGACAACAATACCTCCTAGGAGGCTCATGTACGGCCCCAGGGCACTAGAAATGTGGCCAGTGTAAATGTGGAACTAGCCTCATACGAGTATTGGGAAGTATAAATGTTAGAACGTGTTAGAACAGAACCTGGCCCACAGCAAGCGCGCCTTACTAAGAGGGAAAGCCAGTTTCCAAATCTGGTTCTGTCTTAACAATAACGTCCTTGGTCTCATGTCACATGGCTCATAAAACGGGGGCAGCAGGAGAGGATGGGAGAGGACTTTGCTCCCTTCTCACTGACCCATGGGCTGCCCTGAATGACCACTGGAAGGAAGGGGAGGGGAGGGGGGCTGGTCAGTCTTCAAGATGCTCTTAGGCCGGATTCATTCATTCCCCAAATGTTTACTGAGCACGTACTATGCTTGGAAGTAGATGCTGGAACACCTCAAGGGCGGCACACCAAGGCCTCTGCCCTTAAGGAGATGATGTTCTAGTGGGGATCCAGGAAACCAGCACATCAGATAATCACGACTGTGATTGTGTAATGCCCCCCGTGGGAGGGGAAGACATGCCCTAAGGGGTCAGACTCATTTGAACTTTCCAATTCTGCATGATTTCTCCAAGCTCGGCAGATCAAGAGGTTCCCAAGATGGAGGGGCAGGGGTGGGGGGCTGGAGCACAGGACGCCAGCTCAGGGGGCAGGTCATGGCACTTGCAGAGGAGCCTTGGAGGGGTACCTGGTAGCCACATGCCTAAGCTCAGCCATCAGCCTCGCAAGCCCTCTCAGTGGGGACCAACTCCCAAACATTCCATCACCATGGCAACCACCTGCCGCTGGGCCCTGCGACCTCACTGCCCCAAGCCTCCCGAGCAGATTAGGGGAGACCGGAGTTCCCTTCAGGATCCATGGGGATCAGAGACCTCCAACCCACTCCGGAGGGAAGCCAGCCAAGAAGAGCCTGCCAGGATCCAATGGGGCAAGAGGAAGAGGCAAAAGAATAATTCTGAGGTTCTGGATGATGCTTGAGCATAAGGAGCACCGTGAGGTGGCTCAAGAGGAAAGAAGAAAAGCCAGGCTGGGGCGCGGCCTCAGAGTATTAGCTCACACTTACCAAGCACTTTCTGTGCACCAGGTACTGAGCTAAGGGTTTTGCATATATCACGGAATTTTGTCCTCACTACCCTGTCCATGGTCCCATCTGACTCTCCCTTATTAACCATCTCTTTTTTTTTTTTTTTTTGTGGTACGCGGGCCTCTCACTGCTGTGGCCTCTCCTGTTGCGGAGCACAGGCTCCGGACACGCAGGCTCAGCGGCCATGGCTCACGGGCCCAGCCGCTCCGCGGCATGTGGGATCTTCCCGGACCGGGGCACGAACCCGTGTCCCCTGCATCGGTAGGCGGACTCTCAACCACTGCACCACCAGGGAAGCCCCCTTATTAACCATCTCTTTACTGGGGCTCAGAGAGGTAGGTTCACCTGCCCAAGGCCACAGAGCTGGTAAGCAGGAGAGTAAAAGGAAAACCCAAATCTTCCTCTCTCTCCATAGCCCATGCTCCTAGATCCCTCCTTCCTGACAAGCTTTGCATTTTTTTTTAACCTAAAATGATCAAAGCTGGACCCCCACATGCCACCCTGCCTCCCTCTCAGAGGCCCAGTTCAGCACCCTGCTGGCACAAGCTCAGGGTGGGGAGTGATGAGGGCGGAGGTTACTTCTTGGCTCTTGTACTCAGAGGCTGG